GATGGCACCCTGGTTGCCCCAAAAGCTCATTCCATATCTCTCCTTCGGGCCCCAAGCCCAGGCCATCGGCAGGTCCTGCGGTATATCTCATGCCCCTGTCCTGTACATTTCCATTGCCTCCACCCTTGCCCGAGCCTCCGTCATTTCTAAAAGGGCCCCAGGGGCTGTTCTTCCCGGTTCCAACCTTCCCCTTTCTTAATCTGCTCTCCACAGAGCGGGCACGAAAGTCTGGCTGCTGGCTGCCACTGTAGCCTCAGCCTGATCTTCTCTCTCTCTGAACCTCCTCTTTCTAGCAACAATGGCCTTCTGGTAATTTCTAGAACATTCTGTCCCTTTATACATGGTTTTCATGCCAGGAAGCCCTTCCACTTGGCTCTTTACATGGCTGGCTCCTTACCCCTGCTGTGTGAGTTTTCTATACTGTACAGCAAATTACCACAACTGAGTGACTTAAAATGACATGCCGTTTCTTACCGCACTATCCACGGGGTGGTCCAGGCACGGCAGGGCTGGGCTCAGGGACTCACAAGCTGCGTTCAGAGCGTCAGCCGGGCTGTGTCCTCGTGTGGAGCTCCCCGTGGTTAACCGAAGGGCTGAGACCCTCGGCTCCCAGCCGCCGCCCCTGCTCCATACAGCTCGCAGCCTGGCTGTTCACGTCTTCCAGGCCAGCTAGAAGACTCTCTCTGCCTTTCATTCTCCCCCTTTGGGAAAGACCTAGAAATTCTTTTAAAGGGCTCACCTGAATAAGACAGGCCCACATAGGGTAGTCTTCCTTTTCATTAACTTGGAGTCAGCAGATTAGGGACCTTAATTGAGTCTGCAAAGTCCCTTCACCTTTGTCATATTCTGCTGGTGAGAAGCACGTCACAGGTCCTGCCCGACCCCAGGAACCACATCACACAGGGCGCACCCGTTTATTGTCTGTCTCTTCAACCCTATCATCAGCACTCTGGGGGAAACGCTTTATTTAGCTCTCCGTTGTCTTCCTGGCACCCTCTAATGTGCCTAAAATGTGGTTGGCTCTCGTTAAATACTCGCTGAATGAAGGTGGAAGGAAGCTAGACGTCCAACAAGGGGATCAACCAGCCTCGTTTCTGTGGACGGAGAAATGCCCCTTGTAGAGCTCAGAGGAGTAGGGTTGAAAGGGTTGTCTGTGAGTGTAAGCACCATCTGCTCTAGGACCCTAGTCTAGGTTTCTATTGTGGACCTGGGAGCCATCGCTCATGGTGATGACTGTGTAGCTACCACACTGACGTTTACTTCCCAGCATGTTTTGTCTATGGCAGCAGAGATGCGGGGTCCCAGGATCAGTGGATGGTATTAATAGTTTCTCTGCACCATAGGTGGCTCCACTGTGCAAGGAGTATTCTCTGTCGTCCGTCTGTGTTACATGGAAGTAAAAGTGGCCTGTCAGTACAGTTCATGTACTGGTGTCCCGGAGCTGGCCCTTATCGGCTTGTGAATGTCACATTTCTTCTTAATCAGAACTTTGTTTTGTTTTGTTTTTTGAAAGCACACCAGTGGACTCACAGTAGGAGCATTTAGAAAGAAATTTATGTATTTGTAGTTACTATGTACTTAATCCTTCTAAGATTTCTGTGAGGTAGGAACTGTTACCCATTTGACAGATGAGGAAACAGAGGCTTAGAAAGATGCTGTCTTGCCCCAGGTCGCTGGCACTTGAATCCAGGCCTCTTCTGCTTGAGGGCTTACCGCACTCTCTGGCTGCAGGCCCTGAGCTGGCACGGCAGGAGAATAGGCAGCGACAGCTTCAAGAGGTTGCTTTTCTGTAAGGACAAAGGATCTTTCCTTCGAGATGCTCTAAGGTAGTAGTTCCCAACCAGGGATGCACTTCAGAATTACCCGAGACTCTTTTCCAAAGTACACATTCCCAGCTCTACTCTCCAAGAAGATTCTGACTCAGTAGGTAATCTGGGAAATGCAGATTTTGGAAAAAACAAACTAAAAACCAAACCTCAGCTACTCCGTTTTGGATCCGTGGTTTGAACCACTGCTCTTAGATCACTGAAGTCCCTGTTCTTCAAGGCATCTCTATAGCATTGGTATTCAGGGACAGAACCCAGGTTTCCTTATTCATAGGAGGCGATTTTTTTAGTCCTGGCTCCTTTAAAGCCCACTGTGTTCCAGGCAGCTGTGGGAATGTCAGTGGTCTTCTGGCTGGAACAGAGCGGTAGTTGCAGTTTTTACACTTGGTCACTGCAAGTGGTGATGGAAAGACTTCCTGCTGGGGGTACGGAGGCAGAAGGTGAGGCCTTTCCCGGTTCCGAGCAAGGTGCGCGCCTCGAGTGCTGGGACTGTGGGAGTTTCTGTGCCACCGCCAGGCTTCGCTGCTCCCTCGTCAGCTTTGCCTGTTCAGAAGCTGCTTACTTCTCCCTTCTTTTCTCTTAAACCCTAACAGAGGGGTGAATTCAATCAGGTTTAGTAATCTCTGCCTGAGACCTAACTATTAATTATTCCACATGATTGGTGCCTACTGTTCCCACAATGCACATATTGTGTTTCTCTGTTGAGGGGAAGTTGCATTTGCCAACTTTTTATTGCTTTACCTAGATTCTTGGCAGTCTTTTTTTTTTTTTCTTTTTAAATAATACTGGTAGGAGTTCAAAGGGAGTCACAGATAAGTGATGGCATGCCCTTTCGACTCAACAGAAGACTCTTAAGGGCTTGGGAGGTTGTGGAATGGTCCCGTAAAGAAGGGAAAGGAGGATGGGGTGATGTGCACAGGTAGAGAAAAGAGTAGAACTTGAAATGGGAGAGCACAAAAATGGGCTCGTGGGCTGCAAACTTGTTCAAATGATTTCTGGCTGTCTCCTGCCTAGACTCGTTTCTGCACTTTTCTGGTCCATTCTTTACTCCTATATCAAAGTGATGCCATCCCTTACTTTTTCCTTTATCCCCCTTTGTTGGGGCCTGGAGCAACTCTCCATATTGTTGATCAGGTCCAAGACCCTAAACCTCCACCCGGAACCCTGGACATTTTTACTGGCTTTTCCTTCTGTTTTTCTGGCTTAGCATTTCTTAGGCTGCTGTTGGGGTTACTCTTCCAGGGGTCTGTAAAAACGTAGTGAAAGTTCTTGACAGTGCCCTCCTTGGGGAAGATTCTTAGTATCCCCTAGGATATGGAGGGTTCTTTTTAGACTTAACCCAGAAAAGCTTTCTAGCCTGCTTGTCTAGCCTCATAGGAGCAAGAGCACTTCAGAAGCAGGTGTTGTGTAGTGTGTTGACTGAGAGCGTCGATTTGGAAGCCAGACGTGGACATTCAATTCTGGGCTCTGCTCCCTCCAACTATCTGAATTTGGGTCATTTTACCACTCTAGACTTGAGTTTCCTCATCTGTACAATGGAGCCAAAACATGTATGCACAATATTGTGGTGTGGATTAAACAAGATAAAGTGCTTAACACAGCATTTAGCGCATAGTGAGTGTCAATTTAAAAAAACAGGCAAATTAGGAAATGCTCATCTAGGTGCCCTTATATACTTATCTCAGGCATAGCTACTTCCTACCCCTTTATTTGATCTGCACATTCTGTCTCCACTTCCAGGCCTTAGACTTGGAATGTCCTGGGCCAGGCGCGGTGGCTCACGTCTGTAATCCTAGCGCTCTGGGAGGCCAAGGCGGGCGGATTGTTTGAGCTCAGGAGTTCGAAGCCAACCTGAGCAAGAGCGAGACCCCGTCTCTACTAAAAATAGAAAGAAATTAATCGGACAACTGAAAATATATAGAAAAAATTAGCTGGGCATAGTGGCGCGTGCCTGTAGTCCCAGCTGCTCAGGAGGCTGAGGCAGAAGGATTACTTGAAGTAGTTTGAGGTTGCTGTGAGCTAGGCTGACGCCATGGCACTCTAGCCCAGGCAGCAGAGTGAGACTCTGTCTTAAAAAAAAAGCAATGTCCTTTGCCACAATTACCAAGATTTTTTTTTTTTCTTCTTGAGACAGGGTCTCACTCTGTAGCCCTGGCTGGAGTGCAGAGTGTGATCACAGCTCAGCAGCCTGGGACTCCTGGGCTCCAATGATCCTCCTGCCTCAGCCTCTGGAGTAGCTAGGACTACAGGTGCATGCCAGTACACCTGGCTAATTGTTTAATTTTTTTGTAGAGATGGTGGGTCTTGCTATGTTGCCCAGGCTGACCTTGAACTCCTGGGCTCAAACAGTCCTCCCACCTTGGCCTCCCAAAGTGCTGGGATTATAGGTGTGAGCCACCACGCCCGGCCTCAGCTTTTTTTTTTATTTGTTTTTTAAACCTCTCTGTTTAAGCAACTACTGAAATGGCTTTAAGAGCCTTTTTTAAAATTACTAAAAATAAATTCTTCTTGAATTCTTTTTGTCCCGTATATGATCTTCCCTGACATTAAGTCTCTAAGGATGAGTCCCTGACATTAAGTCTCTCTGCGTCCTTGGTCCTCTCTGTCCTGGCATCTCTCCTTTTCTTTCCCTCATTTCCTCCTTTCCTCTTCTCCCTCCTCTCTCTTTGCCTCTACTCCCCATCACCCCCCTTTCTTTTCTCAGTAAACATTTATTGAGAACCTGCTAAGGGCCAGGGATTATGCCAGTTGCTGGCAATATAAAGATAAGTGAGACGTGCTCTCTGGCCCAGGGTGGCGCGTGTGGACGTGGGGAGGGCAGGACTGCATGGGAAGTGCAGCGTGGAGGCGTGGGCATAGCTCTGGGAGAAGAGGAGCTCTGAGGGAGAAGCCTTCATCCTTTATCATTGCTCCTTGTGTGTTAATCCATGTAACGTGCTCGAGTTGGCTCAGCTGCCCACAGTGTCAGCGCTGTCTGTCTTGGGTCATGGACTCCCTGGGAACCCAGATGAAGCACCTGGTAGAGCCAGGGCCTCAATTGAAGATCGATGCAACTTGATCTGCATGGAAAGCATAAGGCCAGCAAAGAAGACAGGGCACATACATAAAAGCTACAGAATAAATAGATTTTATATGCAGCTTGCAGACACATGCCTTTCTTAATTTTTTTTTCAGCTCCTGTCACGTATAGAGAAACTTCGAACCTCAATGATAGACGATCTAAATGCAAGTAATGTTTTCTACAAGAAGAGGTTAGAAGAGCTAGGGCAGAGACTCCAGGAGCAAAATGAGCTGATTATAACTCAGAAACAGCAGGTACGTCTGGCGGTAGCTTGGCACCATGCTTCTTTAAGCAACGCGGTTTATCAAAGAACATGTATTTTTAGTTCAGAGCATTTGTAAGTGGTACAAGGTAAAGAAGACAGACTATATTTCCCCTTGTGATTGCTCGTAAAAGTAAATACAATAAAATAAAATTTTAAAAGGTATTTTAAAATCGTGTAGAGCAGATTTATTCAGTTAAAATTCAAAACTAATATGATTCGAAGGCACATAAGAATTTTTTTTGGTAATTACTTTGAGGAGCAGCCAAGTCCAAATGTTGCTTTTATAACACTTTTGCTTCTGTGCATTTAAAGCCACGTGCCCTGTGTCTTCAGACGATTTAGTGAAAAGGTTAATTTGCTAATATTATCTGTCCATTATCCAGTGTGTTCCTGTTTAGTTTCGAACATGTATCAATAAAAGACTTTTCTTCTTTGCAGATTAAAGAGTTCACCAGTAAACCATTAAACGGTGTCAGTGAACCCAAAGGTAAGTGGACACGGTCTCAGTGCTGGAGGGGAGCTGAGCCTCCCTGGCTGCGCTGGGCAGCAGAAGAACGTGGGCCCTGCTGGTTTATGTGTGCTAAGATGGCATTCCTCTTGTGATTCTGATTTGGGAGATCTATCCTCTATTATTTTATTTAGGAGATCTGTTTACCACTACCCAGAGAGCTGAAGAATTCTAAAAATCTAAATTATCATTTAATGGTTTCATTATTTTTGTCAGAATACTATTATGCACATAACACCTGCTCAGTAACCATTTACCTCTTAATTTACATACTGTAGGACAGACAGAGTTATGATTTAAAAAAGCACAGGATCTGGAGACAGACTGGGTTCAAGTCCTGTCTCTGGTACTTTGTAGCTTTGTGAATCCCTGCCTCAGTTTGCTCAGCTCTGAAGTAGGAATGTTAGTAGTGTCTTAGGCCCATTTTGTGCTGCTATAATAGAATACCACGGCCTGGGTAATTTATAAAGAACCAAAGTCTCCGAAAGCTGGAAAGTCCAAGAGCATGGTTCCTGCACCTGGCAAGGGTCATCCCACAGTAGAAGGCAACACATGGCACGCTAGTATGCAAGACAGAGAGAGGAAATTAGTCCAGACTCATCCTTTTTAATCAGAAACCTACTCCCGCAGTAACTAATACACTCCTGCCACTGTTGCATGTAACACTATTAAAATGGCCATTGAGTTTTGGAGGGGACATTCAAACCATAGCAAATAGTGACTGTATCATAGGTTTGTTGTGAGGATTAAGTGGGATAATGTGAAGAACACCTGTTAAGCCCTCATTAGTGATAGCTACTTTTTTTTTTTTTTTTATTTGAGACAGAGTCTCACTCTGTTGCCCGGACTAGAGTGCTGTGGCGTCAGCCTAGCTCACAGCAACCTCAAACTCCTGGGATCAAGTGATCCTTCTGCCTCAGCCTCCCGAGTAGCTGGGACTACAGGCATGCGCCACCATGCCCGGCTAATTTTTTCTATGTATTTTTGGCTGTCCAAGTAATTTCTTTCTATTTTTTAGTAGAGACGGGGGTCTTGCTCTTGGTCAGGCTGGTCTCGAACTCCTGAGCTCAAATGATCCGCCCGCCTCGGCCTCCCACTAGTGATAGCTGTTGTTATTGATATTAAACTCTTACTTACTCTGAAGTACTATGAAGGCTTGCTGGATTAGTCTCAGTTGTGGTGGTTTGGGGTGAAAGCACAGTGGGGGTATACACTGCCCACTGACTGTAGCAATGGTAGCCTGCCAGTCTCTGTACCATTCAAGAGCCAGACCATAAGGGAGCATGGGGGCCACAGGTGCAGAGTCTCTTAGTAAAGCCTAAAAGCTCACCTTCTGCCTGGTCTGCCCTCCCAGTGATTCCAGTCTTGGCTCCTGCACATCTCAGGTTGTTAAGGAATCTTTGTCTACTTAAGGGATGCCAACTCAGGGTTGGTCCTGGGGTATAGGACCTGCTTTTCCTCCGTTTTGTTTTTTGATAAGGGGTTGTGATTCCCTTTAACTTCTCTTCGAATAGCAAGAGCTCAGGTAGGGAGGGTTACCTGTACAATTACTCAGATATCATAAATATTTGAAAAGCAATTTTAGAAAAAATTTAGGTTTAAAGGATTTATGTTAAACATATTTATTCTCTTGGGTGAGACACTATATATTAGTACATTTTTTTTTTCATGCTTGAACATTTTTTAATTCACCAAATATCTGCACTTCAATTACTTGAGGTATTTTATTTGCTCATCTTGCCCCTTTGTCTAGGTATTCCTCAGGTATAATCTTTGGCTATCCATTCATAGTTACAAATAAAGGTCATTTTGCTTAATATAGGTCACTTAATGCAATTGTTAATTCTGTCTTTAGCAGTCAAAACTGGTTTCACCCATTTTTCTGGCAAACCAACTAATTTAAATTTGCTCTGGATGCCTTATTTTAAATGAAGTATCATCATCGGTAGTTGAATTGAAATAAGCATGGATTGGTTTGCTATACCTCTGCTGTTGACTTTCAGATTCTGCCATGGTCTGGTCTCTTGATGTGAATGACACACGTGCACTGAAGAGAATCTTCACTTTAACATGTGGGTGAACCTGAAAGTCACCAACTGATAAAACCACCTTTCTTCCAGATCTTTTACAAATGCTATGTAACACTCCCTTTCAATGTCAGTAGGTAAAATGCTCAGTGAATGACATGAAATGTGCTCACGTATGAGTGGTTAAGTGATTAGGCACAGCTATGTCTTCACTGGATTCTTTATTAGTAAAGCATACTAGCCACTTTAATAAATAAGCCCCAACACTTCAGTGGCTCAGCACAATAGAAATTTACCATGTGACAGTCAGTACAGATGTTCCCGGTCAGTAAGTAGCTATCTTGCTCGTGATGATTCAGGAACCCAGGTTTCTGAGCCCCTCTGTTTCCTATGTCTAGACGATGAGATGGGACACAAAATTTCTTAAAGGTTTTGGCCTGGAAGGGGCACAGAGCACTTCCACTTATAATCTGTAACTGATTACTGGTTACATGGCCACATGAGGAAACAAAGGGGACTAAAAAATATAATCCTTGATTGGGCAGCCATGTTTCAATTGCAATTCCATGTTATGACGGAAAGGGCTGCACAATTTTTGGCTGACAACAAGTACTCCATGTCATTGATTCTTAACTGTTTACATTAAAATAAATTCCAGATGGATCAATATTTAAATTAAAAAGGAGATAATTATTGTCTTAGTCTGTTAGTGCTGCTATAACAAAATACTTGAGACTAGGTAATTTACAAAGAACAGGAATTTACTTCTCACAGTTCTGGAGGCTGGAAGTCCAAGATCAGGGCACTAGCAGGTTCAGTGTCTGGTGCGGGTCTGGTCTCTGCTTCCATGATGACACTTTGTTGCTGCATTCTCTGAAACTGCTGCTGGGTGAGCCCAGGGAAGGTAAAGGCTGCCACGCAGGTCACATGTGATTGGCGCCATTTGCGTGCGTGCCTGGGACCCGGCCAAATTCTCTCAGTAAATTTTGAGTCCTGTAGGCCAAGCTCGCGTTTGAC